AGCAAAACACTCACTCTAAAAAAGTTTAAAAAAAAGTTAATTTTTTTTATTGATGCAAATTTTATTATGTAACGCACGTGACACGTCTACATACACTACGTATTTGCTAAGAAATTTTATTTTACAACCAATAAAATCGAACTTATTTTTTCGTGTCTTGATCAACATTTTACCAATACTAATGTCAATAAAAATTGTTAAATTATGATTTTTTGGGGGCCTGATTTAAAAATCGAAGAACTGTAAGTTATATATACGTAGTAATAACTGAGATGCATTTTTATTTTATTAAAAAAATTATTAAATTTAAAATTTTTATTTTAATACTATGTAGCCGCCATTATTGCTACTATCTCGCAAAAATATCAAAAATAAAATTAATCATGTCTATCATCAAGATCCACACCTTTAAAAACATTATGTAATTTACACCAGTTTTTCCAGAAATATTTACGTTTCATCGAAACATCGATACCACCACCATCCTGATGACAATTCTTTTTTTCAAAAATATTATTGTCATTATTATTATTATGTTGTTGTTGTTGTTGTTCTTGTTGTTGCTGTTGAGTATTATCATTCTTAGATTGAGATTGTTGAAAACAATGATACCGATTATAAAAATCTTCAGTACCACTTTCGTAAAAAATTTTATATGTTTCAATACAAATTTTTATTTTCAATCCGTCATTACACGCCAATATATCTGATTTATCAATTGATACAATATTTCTAAATTGTTTTCAAAAAAATTTAAAATTGAAGTTAAATGACAATTAATAAAAAATTAAAAATGATAAGTTTTTACTTACCTTTTTAGAAATGGTTCATATATTTTTTGATAAACACCTTTTGTAGGGTTAGAAGTTACATAACTATAAATATAGCTTATCCATCGTTCTTCTGGTGAAGTGTTTATGTTTGAATTAGAGTCATAATTTAGTAAGGTTATTTGCAATAATTTTTTATAATTATCCTGAAATCACCACATAAATAAATGCCAGAGACAAAATTAATAAAATGAATAATTTCATTAGTAACCAAATAGCTAAATAAATCTACTTACATAATTTATTCTATATAAATGGCCATCTTTATTAATGATATTAGTAGCATGTAATTGATACAAGTATAACATATATGAACCATCTTTTAATGAATTATTAGTTTGTTGTTTATTATGTGTTTTATATAAATAAAACAATTTCTCACACTTGGTATCTTTAACTATCGTGTAAATCTATCATAAATAATAATAATAATAATAATGAATATAAATATTGTATAATTAAATGATCATATAAAAAAAGATTAGATGTTACCTCTTGAGTTAAAAAATGAACAATTTTTTTTACTGAGAACATAAGATGTGCATCAATACCAAGTATATTAACAAGAGATTCCTCGAAATCTGATGCTTCTATTGAACATTTAATCCTTTTTTCAATAAGTTTGAACATATCAGAGTAAGGATCTTTTATATTAATTTCAGCTGAACAATCAATATTGAAAAAAGATATTAGTAATAAATATATTATATGTGAGTGTGTGTGTTTTTAGATATTAATAAATATGTTGTTTACATCTATTTTCAGCATATAGTTTAAACAATCCTTGATTATTAGATAATTTTTCTTGAGAAAATCTTTTTATTTTTTTAAAACGCTCAAATAAAATCTTAACCCCCCCCCGAATTGTTAATAAATTAAAAGTCAAATAATTTATACCGAAAAAATTTCATAGACTAACCTGCAAGTATCTAAAGAAGCAGTAGAATCGATCATTACAGAAAAAATGAGAGATTGCTTGTTTTTTGAATTCACTCTTTTTGTTAGTCATTTCATTAATATTTTTTTTAACTTCTTTTGATACATTAGCCCAAACTTCGTTATTATCTGATGTCCCAACTAACGATGGCGGCGATGATGATGATGCTAATGAAATGGAAGGAGATATTATTCCATTTTCTTTTTTAAACATCAAATCTATATTATCATCATCCATATCCATGTTATCCGAATCATCCCCATCATCATTATCAGAGTCAGAATAACCATCACCGTCGCTATTATTTTCACCTTTTTCATTTGAACCTACTGCTGGCATTGTTTTATCTCCGCCACTTGTATTTATAATGCCTTTGTTATTATTAGGTTGCTCAAAAAAACTTGATGGAAGATCAAAAAAATAGATTAAAAATTTTTTAAAAAACTTTTGAATTTTTCTAGAATCTTTTTTCTCGAACGATCCTGTCTGACCAAGATAAAAAAATATAACTCTAGCGATATCTTTAAATATATTAACATCATCAAATTGGAATTGAAATTGACATTCTTGAACCAAATCATCATCATCATCATCCTCATTATCATCATCATTATCAACTTCCTCAATCTTGTTGCCATCTGCATTATTTCCACTGATAACAACATTATTAGTATTGCGATTTTTATTGTTTTTATGGAGAATATCTTGATTTTTTTTGAATAAATTTTCAATTTCGTTGATGAAATGTTTTGTTGTAAAATTTTTTTTCTCGACCATTTTTGAAAATAGCCCTTTATGATCGAATGACCTGTAATAATTTTTTGATTCAACATCACTCCAAACTTTATTTAGTTTTACCTATTTTTTAGGGAGAAAAAATTAAAATAAATATTAATAGCATTATTACTATTTAATTTTAAATTAATTAATTAATTACTCTTTCTTGCTTTAATTCCTTGGCCTTTTCTTTGAGTCGATTAAGAACAACTGGGATATCATTGACAGGATCATTATGAATTTTCTCAACAACTTCAGCTCCTTTATCATATCCATAAATCCTTCTAATGGCTCTTTTATAGATCAATGATCTACAACGACCATCAAGTCCAGGCTTGAGTTTATATTCTTTTTTATCTTCATCTGACATTTTATTTATCTTCCTAAGAATTGGTTCTAACATTGCTATTGTATGCTGAATGTCTTCAATAACAGTGTCAAACTCGTATCTGTGATAAACAAAGAAAAAAGTATATATTGTTTATAAATAAATATTATTAAAAAACTTGAGCTACATTGCACATGAAAAATAACATACCTTTCATCCTCGCATTTATACAATTCAGTTTCATATTGATTATTTTTTGCTGATTTGAAATCATATTCACCATTTAATAATCCTGAATATGAGACCCATTCATCATTCAAAACTTGATAACATAATTCATCTCTTCCAGAACAATGTACATTTCCTTTCTATAATTATTTTTATATATGCATGGATATATTATGTGCATGAGTACATTTGTTTGTTAGAATGATAAATAATTTATTATAAAGATAAATTGTTATTAAACTTACAGATTCTGGTATATACTTGTAACTTGTCCCAGATGCAGAGGAATGATTTACAACTGCATCGTAATCATATTCTTCCTTTTTCTTTTCTTTTTCCTTGCCATTCTCCCTCATCACTCTTCCCATAATCTTCTC